CCATAACGTACGATCACTCTTCCTGTGGTGCTTCATGCGGTATGTCTTCAGGTGAAGGAGTTACTGGAGAAGGGGGTGCAGTATGCTTTGGTAGCAGTGGTGCACTGTGAAACAAGCACAGGTAGTATCAACCCTGTCGAAGAGCTGGGCCAGACCATCAAGCAGTACCAGCCGCAAGCCGCTTACCTTGTGGACGCCATGAGCAGCTTCGGCGCTGTGCCAGTAAAGATTCAGAATGGGCAGATAGACTACTTGGTTAGCTCAGCCAACAAATGTCTTCAGGGCGTTCCTGGTTTCTCGTACGTCATAGCCAGGAAGTCCGAGCTCTTTAAGTGCAGAGGTACGACCCCAGCCTCGCTTTTGAAATATTTTATGGTTGTCAGGAAAGTCTTCGTCTAAACTGATTTATTTTTCTTCAGGTAATTCTCGCAGTCTTAGTTTGGACCTGGCGGATCAGTACGAAGGATTTGAGGGGAACGGACAGTTTCGTTTCACCCCTCCAACACACACCCTGCTTGGATTTCTTCAGGCGCTGCAGGAGTTTCAGGAAGAAGGGGGTGTTAATGGAAGAGCCAAGAGGTGAGACTCGGCATTTCAGACTCCTACAGGGAGATCCGATTGTGATGAGTTGAATGTCGTTCATCAGCTTCTGGTTGCTAGGATACCATTGGTTTTTACTCATTCATGGATTATTTAATTATTCTATCAGAAGCTTATGTTATGTACCATCAAATGAGTTAAATTGCAGGCTTTTGTAATCACATTCATGAATATTTGATTTCCATGACAACTGGGAATTTCTTGAGCAGCAAAAGAGGAATTGCTGGCAGTGCAAGGAGTTTGTGGGCGTAAACGTTAGGGTACTGATAATGTACGTGTTCAAAATATATCACGTAGTAGGGCCGCGCTCTTTCAGGTACAAGCAGAACTGCACGGTGCTGCAGAGAGGAATGGAAGAACTGGGCTTCTGTAAGTTGCTGTCTAGAGAGTGCGGAGGCTATATCATCACGACGTACCACTATCCTAACCACCCCAACTTTAACTTTGAGGAATTCTACTGTAAGCTGTGTCAGCTCGGTGGGTTACACGTCCAGTATGAGTTATAAGCAAATAGTGTCTGGGAGATGGGTCTCAAGT